AGTTATTTTGTGGCCCAGCAGGTGGTGTGGTGGTTAAAGACACTGGATTCCCATTTGGCCGACCACGGTTCAAGTCCCAGACCTGGTGCCTTGCTTTCTCCCTTTCCCTTTCTCTCTCTTTCTCTGGTCAAATTAAAAAAATAATAAATGCAATTAAATAAATAAATAACTCTTTTAAAAAATCATTATTATATTTAACTTTTAATTATTTATTTTAATTTGATCAGAGAGGGACAGAGTGAGAGAGAGGAAGAGAAAGTGAGAAAGCAAGCAGTCAGGTCTGGTACCCAAACTGTGGTTAGCCATGTGGGAGCCCAGCACCTTCACCTACCATACCACCTGCCGACCTCGATTCTCTGAACACTTTCCTAAGAACCTGGAGCACAAAAGTCCAGTCACCAACCTGCTGATGGACACGCCCTCTCCCACCCCTAGGCATGCTAGTACCTTCTCTCCCAGCCCCTCTGAAGAGGTACTACTCAGCTCAAGCTCAGTCCCTGTGAAACTCCCCAAACATCCCAGTTAGGGGGTTCCTCCTCCTCCCCATTGGCACCCTTCACATCCCTCAACAGTAGATGTAGAAGTAGTGATAATAAAGTATTTAGCACTTACTATGTGTCAAGCACTGTTCTGAGCAATTCAAGTCTACTAATTATTATTATTTTTTAAAAATTATTTAATTTTATTTATTCCTTCATTTATTTTAACTTGACCAGAGAGAGATAGAGAGAAAGAAAGTGAGAAAGCAAGCTACCAGGTCCAGGACTCAAACCATGATTAGCCATGTGAGAGTGTCCAGTGCCTTAACCACCATGCCACCTGCGAGCCCCTCTACTGAATAATTTAATCCACTTAAAGAACCTATGAGGTATGTGACTTTTTAAAAAGCATTATGTATTTAGTTTTATTTATTATCATTTATTATTTTTCTTAGAGGTTTTTGCCATAGGACATGTGTACTCACCAGAGAGAGAGAGACAGAGACAGCGAGAGGGAAAGTGAGCTCCTTGGGGGGGATGGCCACACCGTAATCCCTTCTCCTCCATTCTCCTCTTGGGATCTTGGGCACGCATGCACACGCGCCCAGCATGAGTTTAAGCCACCTGGTCCGGGACGTGAACCGCGGTCGACTACATGGGAGTCCAGCGACATAGCCATTATGCTAACTGCTGGCCCCCCCATTATTA